CGACTATCAGTGGAATGGCCGAAAATGGGCCCATCAAAGTGGCAAAATTGCCGATGCGTAAACATCGCCGAGACGCTAATTCATGAGAGCAAATTCTTGTTAAGTTTTCCATCAAAATTGTCATCATTTTTGGTGCATTATGACCGAAAATGATTCTCTAATTTTCATAAGACAAAAAAAACTTCTTTTTTTTAAATTTGGACGACCTGAGAAGAGTCTTGAGAGTTTCTGTAACCCCCCAAAGTTAATAGGACATACTGATACTTGATTATTATAAAGGTAGATTTGAAGCTTTTACATAATGACGTGTATAAAAATTGTGTATTACTATTTCTCATAATATGTAAAGAAAATAGTAAAGAGTTTAAAAACATTTTAATAATTCCAAAGTTTTGAGGTATCACTCATAATTTATTACAATAAAGGCAGGATAATGGACTTAGTAATAACTGTTAACATAGTAATGATGTGCCGTATAACTTTGCCTGAAATGCTTGGGTATACAATGGCTTCTCCATTATTATTTCTTTTGTACAGTAATTTGAGGTAAAATGTTTAAAAATTTTCATTTGAAGTGGTAGTAGAAAGGCGCTCATAGATGGGCACTCATAGATGGGCACTTATAGATGGACACTCATAGATGGGCACTTATAGATGGACACTCATAGATGGGCACTTATAGATGGACACTCATAGATGGGCACTCATAGATGGGCACTTATAGATGGACACTCATAGATGGGCACTCATAGATGGGCACTTGTAGATGGACACTCATAGATGGGCATCATATGATGGGCACTTATAGGATGGACACTATAGATGGGCAATCTAGTATGGCACTTGTAGATGGACACTCATTGTGATGGGCATCATAGATGGGCAACTTTGATAGATGGACACTCATGATGGCACTCATGATGGGATTTAAATAGATGGGCACTTATAAATGGGCACTTTTGATAGGCACTTATAGATGGGACATTATAGATGGGTCACTCATAGATGGGACATCATTGATGGGCACTCATAGATGGCACTCATAGATGGGACATTATGATGGGCACTTATGATATGCACTCATAGATGGGCATCTTATAGTAAAGCACTTGTAGAAGGAACATTGTGTAGAATGTCACTTTAGGAAGGGGGTCAGAAATAGTCGATTATCAATGATGGTGTATTAACAGTGTATAACAATCCTGTGATTAGTTAATACACAATCTTGTGATGGTGTACAATCCTATGATAATGCACAATAATGTGATGGTATACAATCCTGTGATGGTGTACAATCCTGTGATGGTGTACAATCTTATGATAATGCACAATCCTGTGATGGTATACAATCCTGTGATGGTGTACAATCCTGTGGTGATGTACAATCTTATGATAATGCACAATTCTGTGATGGTATACAATCCTATGATGGTATACAATCCTGTGATGGTGTACAATCTTATGATAATGCACAATCCTGTGATGGTGTACAATATTATGATAATGCACAATCCTGTGATGGTATACAATCCTGTGATGGTGTACAATCTTATGATAATGCACAATCCTGTGATGGTGTACAATCCTGTGATAGTGTACAATCCTGTGATGGTATACAATCCTGTAATGGTATACAATCCTGTGATGGTGTACAATCCTGTGGTGGTGTACAATCTTATGATAATGCACAATCCTGAGATGGTATACAAGCCTGTGATGGTGTACAATCTTATGATAATGCACAATCCTGTGATGGTATACAAGCCTGTGATGGTGTGCAATCTTATGATAAGGCACAATCCTGTGATGGTGTACAATCCTATGATAATGCACAATCCTGCAATGATGTACAATCCTGTGATGGTGCACAATCCTGTGATGGTGTACAAGCCTGTGATGGTATACAATTCTGTGATGGTGTACAATCCTGTGATGGTGTACAATCCTGTGATGGTGTACAATCCTGTGATGGTATACAATCCTGTGATGGTATACAGTCCTGTGATCGTGTACAAGCCTGTGATGGTATACAGTCCTGTGATGGTATACAATCCTGTGATGGTATACAATCCTCTGGTGGTATACAATCCTGTGATGGTATACAATCCTCTGGTGGTATACAATCCTGTGATGGTATACAATCCTCTGGTGGTATACAATCCTATGATGTGTACAATCCTGTGATGGTGTACAATCCTGTGATGGCGTACAATCCTGTGATGGTGTATAATCCTGTGATGGTAGACAATCCTGCAGTGTACAATCCTGTGATGGTATACAATCCTGTGATGGTGTACAATCCTGTGATGGTATACAATCTTGTGATGTTGTACAATCCTCTGATGGTATACAATCCTCTGATGGTATACAGTCCTGTGACGGTGAACAATCCTGTGATGGTACACAATCTTGTGATGGTATACAATCTTCTGATGGTATATAATCCTGTGATGGTATACAATCCCGTGATGGTATTCAGTCCTGTGATTTTGTGCAATCCTGTGATGGTATACAAGCTTGTAATGGTGTATAGTCCTGTGACGGTATACAATCCTGTGATGGTATACAATCTTGTGATAGTATACAATCTTGTGGTGTACAATCCTGTGATGGTATACAATCCTGTGATGGTATACAATCCTGTGATGGTGTACAATCCTGTGATGGTATACAATCCTGTGATGGTGTACAATCCTGTGATATACAGTCCTGACACATTGAAGAAGACTCATGTGCAGGTAGTGCCATGATAGACAAAACTGACTATTACTTACCAAGACTTAGGAAATGATCACCTCAAAGTTTCTTTTTCTGCTATCTTTAGTAGGTCATTAATCCTTTAATGTTTTTTTCTAATTGATGTTGGTTCTTTTAACTTGGTATGATGGTATTTGCCATTAATGTTCATTGCTGTTATTGTTTTTTAATTTTATCCTTGTTTTCATCACATTGTATTGTTTTTTATGGCTGTGAGCACTGAGTGACTTACACAGCCAAAGAGCTCCGTAAATGCCACATTTTTTTTTCAACCCACAGGCTGTCTCCCACTGAGGCAAGGTGATCCAAAAAAGATGAGACACTTTTTCTTTTTTTCCATTTAGTAATTTATACACGAGAAAGGATTACTAGCCCCTTACTCCTGGCATTTTAGTCGCCTCTTATGACATGCATACCTGGTGCCTGTTCCGTGGCCCAGTCCATGACCAGGGTTATGGAGGAAGAATTTTTCTCTACTTCCCCATATAGACATATTACTACTACTATTTCCTTTGTTTTATTTGCCTGCATTTGACTGAGAAAACCTGATGTGTGGTTCAAATGTTTGGTCTATAAGGATGCCCAAGTGTTACACATGTGTCTTATTCTTTGATAGTATCAAAGAGCAACAAGTATGTAACTTACCAGTCCAGTCAACATCTCTTCATATTACAAGTTATATTAAACTTAAAGATTAAACAATATAAACTTTAACAAAGCAGTGTCAGTAGTGCTAAGTTCTAACTTTAAAACTTATTCTTAGTCTGCCTAAAATACTGAGCATATCAGTTTTGGTAAATCGTAGCTCTAACCCTTTAGCATTCCTCTACCCAGAATGGGGGTACACTTCTTAGGCTTACTTTTAGCCATTGCAGAGCCTAGTCACAGAATATTGTCAAAATTTCCACAAGCCAAGAGAGCAGCTCTTCATGATCCTCAAGTAACCAATCAGAGAGACCTAACTCTTTCCCAGGTGGAGTGAGGAGTCGAAATGTGAAGCAGTGTAGTTCTAGACCTGGGAGAATGTGTTTCCCAGTCATTCACAATCACTTGTAAGTACAAAAATTCATAAAAGACTGAGTCCTAATCTGCCTGAGACATTCTGCATCTCAGTTAAATAAATTTGTTCATTATTTATTGTTAATGTTATGCTAGGAATACAATTGCCTTATCTTAACATATACATTAAATTGTACGATCAGCTCTCATATAAAGCTATTCTGTTCAGTGCAATTTTTTTGCAAATGCAAATTTAAAAATTTATTCAAATAACACATTCTGTTTAAGTTTGGATGAATTTTCTATCAATTTACAAAAAAAATCACTGTAGTGGAACTTTTAAAAGAGAGTTCACCCTGAAACTGTAACCATCCTCTAACCATCTGTACATCTAAACATCTCTAACCATCTTGTGACATCTCTAACATCCTTAACCATCGAACCATCTATAACCATCCTCTAACCATCCTGTAACCATCCTATAACCATCCTCTAACCATCCTGTGACCATCCTATAACCATCCTCTAACCATCCTTGTGACCATCCTGTGACCATCCTGTAACCAGCTTGTGACCATCCTGTATTCCTGTAACTATCTTTGACCATCTTGTGACCATCCTGTAACCATCCTGTAACCATCCTGTGACCATCCTGTGACCATCCTATGACCATCCTATGACTATCCTGTAACCATCCTGTGACCATCCTGTGACCATCCTGTAACCATCTTGTGACCACCCTGTGACCATCCTGTAACCATCTTGTGACCATCTTGTGACCATCCTGTAACCATCTTGCAACCATCCTGTAACCATCTTGTGACCATCCTGTAACCATCCTGCAACCATCCTGTAACCATCCTGTGACCATCCTATGACCATCCTATGACTATCCTGTAACCATCCTGTAACATCTTGTGGCCATCCTGTGACCATCCTGTAACATCCTGTAACCATCCTGTGACCATCCTGTAACATCCTGTGACCATCCAGTAACCATTCTGTGACCATCCTGTACCATCTTGTGACCATCCTGTAACCATCCTGCAACCCCACAATTTGCATAACATCCATTGTAACCCCTCGTGTATTATAATGGAAATAAATGTCTTTAATACATGCCATTTATTTTTCTAACCATTGTTAAGTTTTTTGGAGGAGACAAAAATTTCATTTTCGCAATACTACAAGTGTTTCACTAGGACATTGTTATAGATAATGTTACCATAATAAATACACCAATGCTGCCCTCTTGTTTTTATTGCATACTTATACCAGCACATCTTTTATTTATACAAGGTTACACCTTGTTTAAATTTAATAAACTTGTAGAAACTTTATTAAGGTACTTTATTAAGGTACTTAAACAGGGGAAGATATACTACAAAACTAATGGAGATTAAGCTTCAGGGCCCCTAATCCCTGAGGGGCCCCAGAAGTGACTTTAATCCACATTGCTTAAAAATTTTGGGTCTACTATATGAGAAAGGGTTTTTAAAATAAAAATAAAAGGTCATTAAAGTATCATGTTGCTAGCCATTGCTGGTTGTGAAGGTGACCCCACAACAGTTCAAGCTTCAAGGTCACATGACCCCACAACAGTTCAAGCTTCAAGGTCACATGACCCCACAACAGTTCAAGCTTCAAGGTCACAAAAATGTTGGTCCACAACTGTACTTAATAAAGTTTTCTGCTAGTGTAACAGTTGTTTATATGAGTGTTACTATAATACTGTTACAATATATGATAAATGACACACTTGTGCAACATTTGGGTATCTTTATTGCAGAAATGTTTCTCCAGTCAGTGGCTTCTTCAGTCCAGTGTTATCAGTCCCTCAGCCTGGAGTCAATGTGTTTAGTCCATCAGTGAAGATTGAGTCCATCAAGACTGATGGACTGAACACATTGACTCTAGGCTGAGGGACTGATTACCTCAAACTCCTCCTCATCTTCCACTTTTCTCTGTATCGGACTGAAGCCACTGGCTGGCAAAACATTTGCAGAATAAAGTTACCCAAAGGTTGCACAAGTATCTTACTTATCAACCAGTAGAGTACATTACTTAATTCTTCCTTTAAACTTGGTGCTCTGTATTGTTGTCTAACCTATAATCCCTTAACAATAATCTGGGAGATGAAGACGTTCATTGATTCATGTATCCCAGAGGGTTAGTAACCCAGGATAATGCTAGAAAGCCTAGCCAAGCAGTACAGCTTATTTCTATTGGACACCAATGGTGCTCTTCCTCAGGATGCACTCCCTTACCAGTTGGCCAACACCTGGACACCTGTTTAAAGTTAGTTGAATGAAGGCAACAGATGTAAGGAGACTTGACCATAACTCTCACCTTGCCTGGAGATTAAACCTGGGTCCCTTCAGTTATAAGCCAAATGCTTTTGCACTGAGTTACAGTATCACCTGACAGGTGTGTTCTCAGTACCATATTTTCCAGCATATTGAGAATACAGTGGAACCCCCGTATCTACGGATTCAGTTTCAGCAGTTTCAGTTATCCACGGTTTACCATGGCCTTAAAATAATCCCTAATTTTAATTAATAATGGCCCCAAGCACCAAAGTAGTGATAATGGTAGTTTTTCAAAGCCTAAGACAAGCCTTGAAGTACTTCCCATCAGTGAAAAAGTGATAATTCTTGAGTCATTGTGCATAATTTATGAATTAAACTTTATCACAGTTATGTATGTAAACAAAAAACAACATGTTTTGGGGTTCGCTACTATCCATGGTTTCAGGTATCCATGGTAGGTCTTGGAATGTATTCCCCTCAGATACAAGGGACTACTGCATTACAGCTTTATTACTATAATGAACTGCATGAACATATCTCCCATGGATACAGGTGGGGGGAACTACTGCAGTACAACTTTATTACTATAATGAACTGCATGTCAATTTATAAAACACCACTTGCCAATAACCCAGAGTCTACCCTTGACCCTGACCTTGAGCATATAAGGTGGAGGCTGATTTTCCAAGACTTTTCTTCTGCAAAAGTGTGCCTTATATGCCGGAAATTACAGTAAACTGTTTTCACAATGCACACTTTATTCATCTTTTAATTCTAGGACCTCGATATAACGGATGTTTGATATAATGGACAAAATCCACCAGGGAAATTGTTATATTAATTCCAAGTGTTTATTGTATGTAATATGTTAATTGTGTGTACAGTACTATATTATAGAGTACTTAAATGCTATTTTTCAGCTATTTTTAACATTCTGATTTAATGATACTTAACAATTGTATTCCTATTAGTACGTTATATTGAGAGTTTACTTAATATGATGAACTTATTGTTAGTTTCAAACTATTTTTTTAGTTACACAATTATTAGTATGTTAACTTAATTATTTCTAGGCAAACACAAAATAACTTGGTTAGTGATGTGCCATGACACAGCATGTTTTGATATTAGTGATGAGCACTGACTGCAGCATCCTATACCTAATTAGTGATGGTTGAATGACTGCATTCGTAACATGACTTGTTAGTCTGTGCACATGACTGCAGCATGAACATAACTTGGTTAGTGATCGTGCACATGACTGCTGCATCTTGTATCATAACTTAGTGATGGTGCACATGACTGCAGCATCCGTATACATACTTGGATTAGGCTGTGCACATGACTGCAGCATCTCGTATACATGACTTGGTTAGTGATCGTGCACATGACTGCTGCATCTCGTATACATAACTTAGTGATGGTGCACATGACTGCAGCATCTCGTATACATGACTTGGTTAGTGCTGGTGCACATGACTGCAGCATCTCGTATACATGACTTGGTTAGTGATGGTGCACATGACTGCAGCATCTCGTATACATGACTTGGTTAGTGATGGTGCACATGACTGCAGCATCTAGTATATATGTGTTTTGTACTAAAACTTACATCTACACCTATTCAAGGTTTGTGCCTTCATGTGGTGGCTGAGTTCTTGATCCAAGGAGTTGAAGCTACCCTCCCATCCCCTGGATCAAACTTGCTTAACTATCATCATTCCCTAGGCACCCTATAACACTGTGAATACACTAATAAAAACAATATGGAGATACAGGACCTGGGGTTCTGGCACTCTGTTAGAATAATTCCTGAGGCATAAAGGGCACTTGATCCAAGGAATTAGAGTGACCATTTCCTTCCTTAGATCAAACCTAATTGCCTCACTTACCCCAGACTCTGTGTGACTCTCACAGACTGAGCTTTACCCCATGAATATAATTACTAGCTAAAATAATAGCACAGTGGAGCACCGAAAGTTGAGATGTATCAGAGACACAGCCATTCTCAACCTACAATCCATCAAGGTTAACGTAAATTATAAATTTTAGGGGAAAATTTCAAGGAACAGTTCACTTGAAACTCGCACTTAGAAGTGGAACCATATGGCAACACATCTGCCCATCTTGGACTATCATTAAGTCACAAGGTTCAAAGGGTTCCTTTCCTAAGAGCAAGTTTTTCTGGTGAATGTTCAAGCCATGGATTAGTATCTTTTCTTTATTCTTTGAGGAAGAAGCACAATGGTACAAAATCAAAAAATGCCATACCACTGTCCTGATGCCAGAACAAATTTTTTCTGATCTCAAACTTTTGGTGCCCAACTCTAATAACATTAACAAAGAGTCATGAGACCTGAAAATCGGAGACTCTGACAAAAGCCACATATGGTAATCAATGAGGTAAATATATGGGCATGGATACACAAAATGTAGACACATAAGGGAAGAGTAGGTGGGTGTGAGGTACGTACAAGTTTTTTACACAACCCATTCCCACTTTAAAATGTCAGTAGTCGATGTCTTGCTCAATGTCAACCCTTCCGCAATACCCATAAGTAGACAAGACATGTGCAATACTGGGGTATCTTTATTGTCAACAGTAAAGATAGTCAGTTGTTGCACAAGTCTCTTAGTCACCAACTTTTCCATGCTTCGTATTTTTCTCCAAATTGTTTTCATGATTCAGAGTTAAATTAATTTTTTTTTAGGTTAGGGTGGGTTAATGAATTAAAAAAAAACATGCTAGTGAATGAGACAAAATAGGAAACATGGACTGAACAATGTGTATTAGTCTTGTTATGGGAATCGTCAACGTGTATCAGTCTTGGTGTGAGAATGGTTACACGTATCAATCCTGGTATGTACAAGAATGTTTAACGTGTATCAGTCCTGTGAGAATGTATAACATGTACAGTCCTGTGAGAATATTTAATGTGTATCAGTCCTGTGAGAATGGGTTGTTTAGTGGGCAGAGTGATGCGAGATGGGTTTTCTCTGATCATTCAGAGACCTGAGGGTGAGATATGTGAAGGACCTGACATACTTGAGTATCTTAGTTATGGCATTAGACTACTTCGATGCTGGCAAAGGGCTCTTGATCCAAGGAATTGGAACTACCCTACCCTTCCTAGGATCAAACTTGATTACCACCCATTCCGTAGGTGCTATATAAATCTCATGGGCATGGGTGTGCTGGCGAAATGTTAACTTGATCTGGGTATCTGAGGTGAGCATTTTGTATCATTTCTTTTGCAGTATTTTGCAGATCCTCTCAACTCATAATCAATACATTATAATGATCTCAGAATAAAATCATTTCTAATTAAAACTAAGAAGGTACTGGTACTGATGTTAATTTCTGAAGTTCTTCAAGTGCCCTGACACAACGTACATGTCAGGTAAAGGGATACAAGTGCAACTAATGCAACATTTTATTGTGGCAACGTTTCACTCCCATGAAACATTGCCATAGTAAAATGTCACATTACTTTCATCTGTATCCTCTTACCTAACATATTGTTGGTAATTTTCCCAACATTATTACACAGTCTACATGCTTTGCTCTCAGGGATTTTCTACATGCTCAGTACAGCAGTCCTCTTGTTTGCATATCAACATCAAGTTCCTTCATCTCGACATTCTTTTCTTGCTTTCAGGTTACCTCATTTGTTGAACTCTTGGTGTTCCTCGCATTCCCATCCTTCCACATTTTCTTGTCTTAATGCTGTGATTTATTTCTATTACAGACAAGTGGAAAATGGCAAATGTAATTCCTATTTACAAGGCAGGTGACAGGTCCTTAGCTTTAAACTATAGACCAATAAGCCTTACTTCCATAGTTGGTAAATTTATGGAATCAATAATTGCCAAAGCAATTCATAGCCATCTTGAAAAGCATAAACTGATTAACGAATCTCAGCATGGTTTTACAAAGGAGCGTTCCTGTCTTATATATTTACTAACTTTTTTCACTAAGGTATTTGAGGAGGTAGATCATGGTATTGAATATGATATTGTGTATATGGACTTCAGTAAGGCATTCGATAGAGTTCCACATCAGACGCTGTTGAGAAAACTTAAGGCACACGGAATAGAAGGAGAAATTTTTTCCTGGGTAGAGGCATGGTTGACAAATAGGCAGCAGAGAGCTTGCATAAATGGGGAGAAATCAGAATGGGAGCACATCACAAGTGGTGCTCCACAGGGGTCAGTGTTAGGCCCCTTATTGTTCACAATCTACATAAATGACATATATGAGGGAATAAATAGCAACATAAGCAAATTTGCTGATGACACCATAATATGCTGTCCATTTCATTCTAATGAGGACATTAGAGCACTCCAGGATGATTTGAATAGACTGATGTTGGACAGGAAAATAACCATGCGACATATAAATTAAATAATGTAGATCTTAATATTACAGATTTCGAAAAGGATTTAGGAGTTCTGGTTAGCAGTAATCTGAAACCAAGACAACAGTGCATAAGTGTTTGCAATAAAGCTAACAGAATCCTTGGCTTCATAGCAAGAAGTATAAATAATAGAAGTCCTCAGGTTGTTCTTCAACTCTATATATCTTTGGCTAGGCCTCATTTAGATTATGCTGCACAGTTTTGGTCACCGTATTACAGAATGGATATAAATGCACTGGAAAACGTACAAAAGAGGATGACAAAGTTGATCCCATGTATCAGAAATCTTCCCTATGAGGATAGACTGAGGGCCCTGAATCTGCACTCTCTAGAAAGGTACAGAATTAGGGGGGATATGATTGAGGTGTATAAATGGAAAAGAGGAATTAATAAAAGGGATGTAAACAGCATGCTAAAAATATTTAACATAGACAAGACTTGCAGCAATGGTTTTAAATTGGAAAAATTCAGATTCAGGAAGGATATAGGAAAGCACTGGTTTGGTAATAGAGTTGTGAATGAGTGGAACAAACTCCCGAGTACCGTCATAGAAGCTAAGATGTTGTGTAGTTTTAAAAATAGGTTGGATAAATACATGGGTGGGTGTGAGTTGGACCTAACTAGCTTGTGCTACTAGGTCAGATGCCATGCTCCTCCCTTAAGTGATGTGTCTGACCTCACTAGGTCAGTGAGCTTAAGATCACTAGGTCAGTGAGCTTGAGCCAGTGGGAGAATTGGACCTGCCTCACATTGGCCAGTAAGCCTATTGCAGTGTTTCTTCTTTCTTGTGTTCTTACTGCTAAATACCCGTTAAATGTCAACAAAGAGTTCGCCAATCTAATTACAATTTAGCAAATGGTTCAGTTAAACCAAACTTCATTCACTCCAGCACACCTCTGCTCGCAAGTTTAATACTACCATATAAATATAATGCTACAGAAAAACCTCCAGTACAACGAACCTCCACATAACGACTTCGAAGATACGGAACAAGACCTGCAAGGTCTTGTGCATGCTAGTGGCTTTCTCTGTGCTTAACAATACATATTTTGTTACATGTAAACAACATTTTTTTATATTACTGCACAAATAAGATTTGTTTGTTTGTCTGCCACATTTGCCACTACCAACCACTGGCTTCCCTCTATAAGTCCGTTATATGGAGGGTCGAAGAGTTATGGGTGAAAGCCCTTCCATTGTTCGACTTAAAGAACACAAAAAAAGTATGTCTAATGCTGTTGCAATGTGTTAAGCACTATGTGACCCTGATGGTTTTAACTCTTCCCTAACTCTACTGTGAATTTTTATTCCCTGGAATAAAATTTCATAGTACATATCATGGCTGTAACTGTTCACTAAAAACCTGCACTTAAGAGAAGACCCATATGATGACATTTTGGTCCTGAACCAGTTGTGACTTGACAGTGGTCCAGGATGGACTAAAACATCATCACGAGGTTCTTCTCATTAGTACCAATGATTCAGTCAATGATTCAACCCACTATCATGCATTTCTGTAGTACTGTCTTGCAGAGCTTTTGTAAATATGCATTTTTTTGCAAATGCAATTGAAAATGTAAATCCAAATTTAAATGGCACATACTACCAAGGTCTTTTCACATGCCTTTTAATTTCTGACCCATTTTTTCAGTTGTACAGTGGACCCCTGCTTAACGATCACCTCCAAATGCGACCAATTATGTAAGTGTATTTATGTAAGTGCGTTTGTACGTGTATGTTTGGGGGTCTGAAATGGACTAATCTACTTCACAATATTCCCTATGGAAACAAATTCGGTCAGTACTGGCACCTGAACATACTTCTGGAATGAAAAAAGATCGTTAATCGGGGGTCCACTGTATTTACAAAAAGTTACACTATAGGAAGGAACTCTAAAAGGTGCTGACTGTATTATCAGCTCTAAAAGGCACTGACTGTATTATCAGCTCTAAAAGGCACTGACTGTATTATCAGCTCTAAAAGGCACTGACTGTATTATCAGCTCTAAAAGGCATTCACTGTATTATCAGCCCTAATAGGCACTGACTGTATTATCAGCTCTAAAAGGCATCACTGTTTATCACCCTAATAGGCACTGACTGTATTATCAGCTCTAAAAGGCATTCACTGTATTATCAGCCCTAATAGGCACTGACTGTATTATCAGCTCTAAAAGGCATTCACTGTATTATCAGCCCTAATAGGCACTCACTGTATTATCAGCTCTGAAAGGCACTCACTGTATTATCAGCTCTAAAAGGCACTCACTGTATTATCAGCTCTAAAGGCAATTACCAGGCAAACTTAAAAGCCTATTACAGTATATCTTTGTTACTTTGCTTTCCCTGGGAGGTATTTTCTTGAGGTATACATATGTGAATGGGGTCATGTTTTTTTTTTTTTTCATTAAGACAGTGTCTCCTGGCACTGGTTTACCAGTGCTACATCAATATATGTCATACATCAGATGCCCCTCGCTTTACGATGGTTCCACTTCGACTTTACGATGGTGTGATATTGATGCACATTCAGTAGTCGTCAAACTTTGAGTTTTGATAAATTGTATTCATTTATTTACTCCTTAATACTGGTATTTAGTTAGTTACAGTAATTGTCTGTTTATTTACTTATCCAGTAACAGTATTTACTTATCATATCTTAATATTTGATTTACAATATTTTTAACTTACAGGGGGTTCATCAGAACGTAACCCCATCGTATGTCGAGGAGCATCTGTATACATATATAGCATGCACATACAATACATACAACAAATTCTTGTCAATCCAGCATTGGGGAAACTTTAATTTTTCTTATCCATTTTTCAGTTTTTTTCCCATCAAGTGAGGTAGGTGCCTTGATGCTGGTGAATGGCTCTTGATCCAAGGAATTAGAGTTGTCTTCTTATTTTGTGGGGGGGATCAGTGCAATCGCTTCCCATTTCCAAGGTGCCGTACAACCCCAATAGGTTTAGCACTTCCCCATGATAATACTGTAATATTAACAATGATTTATAAATGTTTTATCCCCCTCGCCAAATCTATACAGTGGACCCCCGCATAACGATTACCTCCGAATACGACCAATTATGTAAGTGTATTTATTTAAGTGCGCTTGTACGTGTATGTTTGGGGGTCTGAAATGGACTAATCTACTTCACAATATTCCTTATGGGAACAAATTCGGTCAGTACTGGCACCTGAACATACTTCTGGAGTGAAAAAATATCGTTAACCGGGGGTCCACTGTATATTATTCCTGTGGTGTTTAGACTTTCGTACCGTATATGTATATAGTTTGTGTTTTTGAATACAGTAAGATCTCTTACAAAGCTTCTTTATATAGTATAAGTTTTGCTTGTAACTGTGACTGGAAGATTGCATCAAAATTGAGGAACATGTGGTAAGACCTTCACTGTATGTGATATTTAATTTTTTATGTATTTTTTTCATTTTATTTGGAAAAAAATTATGCTATATAAAAATAGGCTTTTAAGAAGCCTACTGTAATACTGAATTTTTTATATGCAAAGATTTCTAAAAAAAAAAAATTGCATTTTATAGAATAGACCTATAAGAGGTCTACTGTTATATTGAATTTGCTATATGCAAAGATTTCTACAACAAAAAACTGAACTATATAAAATAGTCCTATAAGAGGCCTACTGTAATATTAAATTTGCTATACACAAAGATTGCTACAAAAAAAAAAAAACTAACAGTTACTGTAGCTTGGTAACACCAGTATTATACATATTACAGATCCATACCTGGCTTTTGTTAAGTCATAGCTGTATAGCCCTTGTGGCTTAGCGCTTCTTTTTTGATTATAATAATAATAATGTTAAGTCATAATTACTATGTACAGCATTTTACCCTCTTCCAGGAATTTCAATATCATAAGAGTTCATTCAACATATAGTGTTATCCTGTGTGTTTTTTTTATCATTGACAATTAAACAGAATTTACCTTAATAAAATAAAAATCACAAACTTTTTTTCTTGTACAATACAAAGTCACAAACACCTACATTATATTTTTACCTCAATGGTCATCTCTCACCAAGGCAGGGTGACCCAAAGAAGAAACCACACTCACTGTCATTCATTCAATGGTTGTCTTGCCAGAAGTGCTGCTGACATTACAGTTCAGATGACCCTCTGACTGTAACATCCCCACCCTTATAAAAATAAAACCACAACACTTAAATATGAGAACTAAATAACCCCACACTAATGTAAATTAAAACAATAACCCCAGTGGGCACCACTATTATTACTATGCTGGGAGCTTAGAGGTGGCTGTCTGGATGGAAGGAAGGGCTAGGAGACTTGCTTTGAAGCAGCGTTATTCTCTTATTAAAGGGGGCTTGATGGAGTTTTGGGGCTAAAACCCCTCAAAGACCCTCCTTAGTACCACCTCTGAGTAACCCAAACATACACAAATAATTTCCCACACACATACACACTTAAATCGTACAATGGTTTACACTTTGCTCTTGTGTCACCTGGATCCTTAAAGATATTTATGCTAGAACATTTCCCCAATAGTAATATAACTCACTGTCTTACAATGGTATTAGTAAAAAAAAAAAAATTGATGCTACAGTATTTGTGACTATTATATTTGTCACAGCTGAATATGATGTTTGGTGAAGGAGCTTTCAGGGGGTCTGGTGCCTTGATGCTGGCAAAGAGCTTTTGATCCAGAGAATTGGAGCCACCTTCCTATTCCTTGGATCAAACATCATTGCCTCCCATTCCCAAAGGAGCTTTCTGAAGAATATGATAATCTGTGTGAACATTAGGCTTAAGTTTGCCCAAACTGCTCTGCATAATCATAGGCTTTTTGCATACAATCAAATGTCACCTGTTTCTGTATAAACATTGTATCATGTGAAAATAAACTCTGACTTTGACTAGCGTGAGCGACTGAAATAAATTTTTACATGATCAGTAAGGGTAAATTAATGCTGGAATCTAAGACTGTCCAGATTAGCCCCACTTCAGACAAGGTTGTATATAATAGTGGTGAATCTTCAATAGGGGTACCTGGAATTACCCCTTCTTTTTCTGGGATCACATGTGATCATCCCCCATTCCCAAAGTACTGTACAACTCCTGTAGGTTTAGCTCTTTCTGGTGAAAATGATAAAAAGTGTTGAAGTCAACCGACACACCGCCATGCTCACTGCACCTTCATCTTTATGGTGCTTGAGGGCCAAAATTTCTTGTAAATGGATCTGGCCAAGAGGAAGAGGATAGAAGAGATAGCGAGAGCCACACCAGCTATGATAGCCATCACATCCAGCAGCAAGTACTGTGTCATACTCAGGTCTGCACCAGAGAACCTGTCCAAACACAGTAAACATCAGTATAACAATTCAAATTCAAAATTAAAATATCTTACTGCTTTTCTGGAGTATACTACATATACAGAACATTAAACTCCAATATAAACTCTCCATTTAAACTTCTCCTTGATAGCTACAACAGATCACACAGTCACAATACAAGGCATAAGGCACTCCTAGACATCCCTCGTGTCAGTCTCATACTATGCAAAAATGCAGAGCACATAAAGGGCCCAAAGATCTGGAATTCACTACCTGAACTGGTAAAGGATCCCCTGACTACTTATAAATTTAGGAGTTTGCTTAAAAATCATCTCATCTATCAATACGTACTTACCAAAACAACTTCTAATCAGTTATTATATTATATGACCTCTAATCTATTAAAACCCCTCAAGGAAGGTTCCTTGATGTTGGTGAGGGGCTCTTGATTTAGGGAATTGGATCTGTGCTCCAGTTCCCCGAATTAAGCCTGAATACCTTCCACATCCCCCCCCCAGGTGCTGTATAATCCTCCGGGTTTAGTGCTTCCTCCTTGATTATAATAATAATAATAATCTATTAAACATCTGCTAATCCATGAAATACCTGGAATATACCTGGAGAGGGTTTTGGGGGTTAACGCTCCTGCGGCCCAGTCTGTGACCAGGCAGGCCTCATGGTGGATCAGGGCCTAATCAATCAGGCTGTTACTGTTGGCCACACATAACCCAACATATGAGCCATAGACAGGCTGATCAGGTACTAACTTTAGGTGCCTGTCCAATGCCTTCTTGAAGACAGCTAGGGGTCTATTGGTAATCCCCCTTATGTATACTGGGAAACAGTAGAACAATCTTGGGCCCATGACACTTGCAGTGTCTCTTATCATGCTAGTGGCACCCCTGCATCATTTGCTGAGTCTTTAGCTTTTATAGGGAGTGATTTTTGTGCGCAAGTTTGGTACTAATCCCTCTAGGATTTTCCAAGTGTATATAATCATGTATCTCTCCCGTCTGCATTCTATGGAGTACTGGTTGAGGAACTTGAAGCATTCCCAGTAACTGAAGTGTTTTATCACAGTTGTGTGTGCCATGAAGGTTCTCTGTACATTTTCTAGTTCAGCAATTTCTCCTGCGGTCAGTGGTCACCTGCGGTCATACCTGCCTAAGCTCTTGGGAGTTAGCGTGGGTTGTTACCAAGCACCATGGCTTGTTGTAGTGTTTTAGAATCTCAGGTTCAAGTGTTGAAGAAGGAGATTCTACTTCTTCAGGAGGAAAATAGGAGGATGAAGCTTCGCATAGATGAGTTTGGGAGCGAATGTGAGAAGGATTTAGCTGGTAAGGAGGAAATGGTCACCAGCCGTGATAGTGGCAGCAGCTTTAAGTGGCAAGTAGTTCACAGTTCAGGAAGAAGGAAGATGAGGAGAGTTAATAGAGAAGATGTGAAGGTAGGAAATCGATTCTCTGTTCTCCAAGACGAGTGTACTTCAGTGGTTAGTGAGGTTGAAGGTACCACTGATTCCCCTGCTAATCAAAGTAAGAATATTTTAATAGTAGGTGATTCTCAGGTAAGATACATGGACCATGCATTTTGTAACAGAGAAAGGTCAGACAGAGAGTGTGTCTTCCTGGAGCTGGTGTTGGTGACATAGTCAGCAGGTTGGATAATATTATGGTAGGTAATGGGAACAAGCCCATTATCTGTCTTAGTGCTGGGGGTAATGACAATGGGAAGGACAGGAGAGAGGAGCTGCTGGATAAGTACAGGTCAGCCATAGAACTAGTTAGGTCTAAGGGAGGGATCCCAGTCATATGTAGCATCTTGCCTAGAAAGGAAGTGGGCAATGAATGGATGTCTAGGGCAATTGGTATAAATTGCTGGCTAGACAGGTACTGCAAGGAACTTGCAATCCCATTCATTGATAACTGGGACCTATTCTTTGGCAAACGTGATATGTATGCAAGGGATGGGATTCATCTCTCTGGGGATGGAGTGGTTGCATTAGCCAATTCAATTGAGAGGGTAATTGATGACTTGTCTAGAAATTTAAACTGAGAGATTATAAAAGTATGGGTGTTTGTGGGAAACAATCAGGCTGCAGCATTAAGGTTAAAAACAGCAATTATTACCGGGATACCTCAGGGATATGTTTAAAAGACAATATTCAAAATAAAGTTGCTAGTAATGGTAAATCAATTGATCAACAAAGAAAGAAAGATAGTAGAGGGCAACGAGTGACTAGCTCCCATAAAGTTTACTATACAAATAGTAGGAGTCTAAGAAATAAAATAGATGAGCTAAGATTACTTGCAAGTGCAGGTAATATAGATATTATTGCTATAACAGAGACCTGGTTCAACCTGAAAGATAGAGAAATGCCCTCTGAATGCAACATACGGGGTTATAAACTATTCCACACTGACAGGGTCAACAGGAAGGGTGGTGGAGTGGCGATGTTTGTCAGAGAAAATTTAAATTGTTGTCTTAGACATGATATAAGATTAGAAACATAGAACACAGAATCTGTTTGGCTACAGTTTCTCCAGGGACGTGATAAATTAATTTTGGGTGTGATTTATAGGCCCCCAAACCTTGATAGGGAGGGCAGTAAGCTGTTATGGGACGAAATTCATAAGGCATCTAGATATGAAAATGTTGTGATAATGGGAGATTTTAACTTTAGACAAATTGATTGGAACAATATGACAGGAAATCTTGAGTCTAGTGACTTTCTTGATACGGTTCAGGATTGCTTTTTAGAACAGGTTGTGACAGAACCAACTAGAGGAAACAATCTGCTTGACTTGGTTCTTGCCAACAAAGATTCACTAATTAATAATCTTGAGGTTAATGATGAGCTTGGGGAAAGTGATCACAAATCACTTAGTTTCAGTATATCATGGAATTACCCAGATAACTGCAGTCAAATCTCTGTCCCAGATTTTCGCTTGGCCGATTTCATGGGACTGAAAAATTACTTGGGTGGGCTAAATTGGGGTGTCCCGACTATGGGTCAGGTAGGTGATTTTGGTTGCCAATATGACGTTTTTCAGAGCATAGTTCTAGCTGCCCAGACAACTTTTGTTCCGAGAAGGGAAATTAGATCTAACAAAAATGATCCCAAATGGATGAGCAACAGATTAAAACATCTCATCGGTCAAAAAAAAGGCATATATAGGCATATCAAAAGAGGGGATGGCAGTTAGGAAATCAATACATTCAATTAAAGAGAGAAATAAAAAGTGGAATAAGAAAAGCAAAAAGGGATTATGAGGCTAAGGTCGCAAGAGATTCAAAGACTAACCCAAAAGGGTTCTTTTAGGTATACAAAAGTAAGATTAGGAACAAGACTGGCCCACTTAAGAATAACTCTGGTCAGATCACTGACAGTGATAAGGATATGTGTGAAATTCTCAATACCTACTTCCTCTCAGTTTTCACCCAGGACAATACTAGCGATATTCCTGAAATAATAGATTATGTAGAACAGGATAATAAACTATGTACGATTGCGGTAACTAGTGACATGGTCCTCAGACAAATAGAGAAACTAAAACCTAACAAATCCCCAGGCCCTGATGAACTGTTTGCAAGGGTGTTAAAGGAATGTAAAGAGGAACTTAGCATTCCATTGGCTAATCTTTTTAACCTATCACTACAAACTGGCATATTGCCTGATAAGTGGAAAATGGCAAATGTAATACCTATTTACAAGGCAGGTGACAGGTGCTTGGCTTCGAACTATAGGCCAATAAGCCTTGCCTCCATATAATTGCCGAAGCAGTTCGTAGCCATCTTGATAGGCACAGATTGATTAATAAATCTCAACACGGTTTTACAAAGGGGCATTCCTGTCTTACGAATTTACTAACTTTTTTCACTAAGGTGTTTGAGGAGGTAGATCATGGTAATGAATATGATATTGTGTATATGGACTTCAGTAAGGCTTTCAATAGAGTTCCACATCAGAGGCTATTGAGGAAACTTAAGGCACACGGAATAGGAGGAGAAATTTTTTCCTGGGTAGAGGCATGGCTGACAAATAAGCAGCAGAGAGTTTGCATAAATGGAGAAAAATCAGAATGAGGGCACGTCACAAGCGGTGTTCCTCAGGGGTCAGTGTTGGGCCCGTTGTTGTTCACAATTTACATAAACGACATAGATGAGGGAATAAATAGCGACATAAGAAAATTTGCTGATGACACCAAAATAGGCCGTCCAATTCATTCTAATGAGGACACTAGAGCACTCCAGAATGATTTGAATAGACTGATGCAATGGTCGGAGAAGTGGCAGATGCAGTTTAATATTAACAAATGCAAAGTTCTAAATGTTGGACAGTTAAATAACATGCCACATATACACTAAATAATGTAGATCTTAATACTACTGATTGCGAAAAGGATTTAGGAGTTCTGGTTAGCAGTAATCTAAAACCAAGACAACAGTGCATTAGTGTTCGCAATAAAGCTAACAGAATTCTTGGCTTCATATCTAGAAGTATAAATAACAGAAGTCCTCAGGTTGTTCTTCAACTCTATATATCCTTGATTAGGCCTCATTTAGACTATGCTGCTCAGTTCTGGTCACCGTATTACAGAATGGATATAAATGCTCTGGAAAACGTACAGAGGAGGATGACAAAGATGATCCCATGCATCATAAATCTTCCATATGAAGATAGACTGAGGGCCCTGAATCTGCACTCTCGAAAGGCGTAGAATTAGGGGGGATATGATCGAGGTGTATAAATGGAAAACAGGAATAAATAAAGGGGATGTAAATAGTGTTCTGAAAATTTCCAGCCAAGACAGGACTCGCAGCAATGGTTTCAAGTTGGAAAAATTCAGATTCAGGAAGGATATAGGAAAGCACTGGTTTGGTAATAGAGTCGTGGGTGAGTGGAACAAACTCCCGAGTACAGTTATTGTTTACCTGGAGTTTACCTGGAGAGAGTTCCGGGGGTCAACGCCCCCGCGGCCCGGTCTGTGACCAGGCCTCCTGATGGATCAGAG